CCTCCTGGTCCTCCTGGACCGCCGCCTGGTCCATGGCCATGATCATGATGGCCGGGGCGGTGCATCTTCAATTGGTTGTTGCAGTGCAGTTGCGGAGAGACTATTTTGGAGTTGATTTTTACTTGTCGAGCGAGTTGTGGAATGTTGTGTGGCGAATTGTTGAAGAAAGCTGTTGGATTTTATAATGCAATATTATTGTCGGTACAAAGCAACGTTCACATGGTAGCTAGCTAGATGCTTTTCATCATCGTAAATAGGTGCCACGTATAAAATATATTTTCTATCTTATCCATCTAGCTACTATAAAATGACTAAAGAGGACAAAAATAATTTTTTTTTTTTTTTTTTTTTTTTTTTTTTTTTCTCCGGAATGAATACAGAAATTATTACAAGAACATTTACTGTCCATCTGAAACATGTTATTACATGTGTATCACGCGAAGCTTTTTGTTTGTTTTTATCAAATTTCAAATTAGGACAATATATATCTTTCATTTTCTTGGAACTATATATAGAGAAATTCTCATTTGCGGATATTCGAACATTATTATTGTGTAGACGTTATGTATTTTTTAACATCCATTCTTATTTTCCTCTATATTTACAATGGTGTACTCTTGTTAACATTTAGACATTCGGCCATTTGGACTCATTCTCACTCTCACACACACACAAATATAAAGCACCAAAACGAATAGAAGGGCAACATATCATAATAAAGCGGTGCTCTTCATTTTATTGTTATATGCATGTATCATACAGTAGTATTACATAAACCGCCCTCCTCTTCTCCAGCCAGCTGAAACTGAGCTACTGGAGATGTCCGGGGAAGGGAAGGATCTCACCCAACATGATTAGCAAAACTAACTAGAAAAACATTACTAATTAATAACAAACACAACATTATCATTATCAGCTAGTTATTCTCATCATCAACTTAATTATATCATCATATATAGACTATGTAGTACGTACTACTAGCTAGTAGTACACCACAAGTCTTGTTGCCCATCATCGTTAACTTATCAGCGGCCACCGTGCCCCCCTGGACCGCCACCTTGGCCTCCTGGACCGCCACCGCCATGGCCTCCTGGACCTCCTCCGCCTTGGCCTCCTGGACCGCCACCGCCTTGGCCTCCTGGACCCCCTCCGCCTTGGCCTCCTGGACCGCCTCCTTGGCCTCCAGGACCCCCTCCTTGGCCTCCAGGACCGCCGCCTGGATGTCCATGGCCATGATCATGAGGGCCGCCTCCTGGGCGTTGCATCTTCTTGAATTGGTTGTTGCAGTTGCAGAGAGACTCTTACTCTTGGTGTTGATGTGGCGAATTGTTGAAGAAAGCAGTGGCTTTTATAATGCAATATTTATTGTCGGCAGTACAAACACAAAGCAATGTCCACATCCTCACTAGCTAGATGATTTTCATCACCGTAAATAGGTGTCACATAAAAAATGAAAAATAAATATCTTTCCTATTAATTAGATATAATTCTATCCTATCCATCTAGCTACTTAAAAAGAGGACAAAATAAATTTTGTTTTTTTTTCCTGTTAGTAATTACATCTTTTTCAAGATAAAACAATCTAGTAATTTTTCCTCCATAGAAGGAAAAGAAAGGGCCATGCTGTGTTATTATTAATTACATATTTTTCAAGATAAAACAAAGAAATTGTTTGGTAATAATGTTAAAGAGAAAAGTACAAGTCTAAGGAAATTGCAAACGGCGTCGGCAAAACCCACTTGAAGTGGAAAACGACCTCCAACGGCCCCACTTTTATTTTAGAAAATAAAAGCTTCTGAATTAGGATAGGACAACACCACTAACCACAACGTCATTTGCGTGTACCTGCATCGTCTTTAACTTTTCTATATAGGTCGCAAAAATTAGGATGATATATACCATACGTACATATTCTAATTTCTTCGCGCGATATATATATATATACAAAGCTTCAGTTAATATATTTTTTAAATAAGCTTATTTGAGAGATACTTTGTAGGGCATACCCTGCATTGTATTTTAATAATTATTCTAATTAGCCTAATTGTCTATTTTTTAGGTATTTATTTAAAGATCATCTATGCATAACATCACTTGGATTTGAATTTCATTTAAAGATCATCTATGCATAACATCACGTGGATCTGAATTTGACCACTCAATTAAACAATAATGTTATTTTAGTATTTTCTTGAAGCACTATATTCGTCGATTTTGTTGGACATAATTAGATGTATTAATTAACATTTTTTGCCTAATATTAATACAATAGCGTTCGTGCAGTAATAACATCCAAACGCCCACATAAGAGACGAAATATATATATATATATATTCATACTTCAAAAACTCAATGAATCTGGGGTGAGCACCAGTCCCGGCCCTTCTCAGGGGCAGTCAGTGCGACTGCCTGGGCCCTTTATTCAAGGGGGCCCCAATTTTTATTATTATAATAAGTGTTATATTATATTATTATAAATTGATTTAATATTTTTCCATAATTTTTAGGAATAGGATATTGAGATGAATCTGAAATTTTGAAACAAATGATCCATGATGAGAGTTTTAAAAGAAATTATTTGATATTGGCTTGACTTGCATTTTTGAAATTCTTTGACTCACTGGTATGATATCTATATTTGGACATTTGTTTTCATTATTTAGGAATATGGAAGATATTTCTCAAGTCTAAAAATATTTTCGAATAATACCTTCTTAAAAAAACCCAATGCTTAGAAGTATATTAGTATTAGTGATTAATGTGTGTAGGGTACACTTTGGATTTTCACCCTAAGCCTTTGAAAACTCAGGACCGGCCCTGATGAGCACTTAGCACCACCATGTTATGCACTTCTTTTGTTCACTTGCTTGCAGCAGTAGTTAATTAAGACATATTCATTTATGAAGTCAAATATGAAATTATAAAAGAAGAATAATTATCATGCTGTCCTCTGTGGATTGCCTTGTTAGTTTCGTCCTGGGTGCAGGTCGGGCCTTTTGGCTTTGCTAAGCATTTTTGGTGCTCTGCTTTGCAAGTTCTTTCTTGGGAAAAGAATTTTGGTGTAAAACAAAGTAAAAACTGTCAGTTATTACCAAACAAAAGTGAAAGGAAAACCCACAAGATCAGTCATCTCATTATTATTTCAGAAGGATAATCAGCATCCTTTTTTTGGTACATAAACACACAGTGATAGTGATTTCTTAGCTAGCTAGAGCCGATAATATCATTACAATGCACGATCATGAGATGAGATGAGAGCAAGCTAGTTAAAACTAGAAATTACATATATAATTAATATTCTTGCAGCGCCTAATTAGCAAGCTATATGTATAGCTAGCATGCATACATAATAGATGAAGATTCATGGGTGGTGGTGGTGGTGGCAATGATCATGATGGGGATCATGTGGATGTGGCTTGTGTGGTTCAGGAGGGCCATGGGGAGGTGAAGGGGGTCCTGGCTGAGGAGGAGGAGGGCCATGGCCGCCTTGCGCCGGAGGAGGAGGTTGACCAGGAGGACCAGGAGGACCAGGAGGACCTGGAGGACCATGTCCGTGCCCCTGCGGTGGTGGTGGATGGTCTGGCATATTTCTCGATCTCTATAAAGCTGGATTAAGATTAAGAATTGGATTTGGATTTTATAGCAGTGAATAAAGTGCTTTTGCTCTTTCTCTATGCACACACAAGTAGAAGTAGGTGCGTGGCTATAAATTATATAAAAAGCTAAAGCTGGGCTAGGGCAGAATGGTGCTTCTTCTGTAGAGGGCAAACGTGTCCTTCATCCTCATCAGCTACTAGTCTCATGCATGATCCTTTTCCTACCTACAATTCAATTCCAATTTCATATCGATCAGTCATATCCCAAACTACTTTTCTACTTTATTTCTTCCACCCAATTCTTGATTACAAATTACATGGCCATAATCGATCATGTCATTGTCAATTTGTCATAGATATCCACAGACTCCCCTCTCAGATTCAGACGTATATATATATATACATATATATTCGGATATTCCAAGTTCCAACCAACCACGTAACCCTCCCTTCGACCAAAAACAAACCACGTACCCCCACCTCTCACAAGCTGTACTATGCTTCAATTATTATTGTGCACATGGCATGCCATGACTCGGCTTTGAAAATTCCTCTCTTTTTCCCATTTTAAATGTCTTGGGGCCAAAACTCGACGAGCAAGGCCCAAAAACTTGATGGATCAAGCTTGGCCCAGTTTACAATTCCAACCAAGCTCGGGAGCCCAATCAAGCTAAGAACCCAAAAACCTATGACTGGTTTGGTGGATCCTTAATATTTTCAGACTCAAATATTTCATGTCAGGTTTTCAGCCAATTTTTCCACATTTACTTACTTGTACTAAAAAACAAGTAAGCGTAATTCTTCCAGACAATAAAATATGTTGACGCGAAGAGGAGCACATTTTCTAGTTAAAAGTCTTTTTTCCGGCAAAAGAAATATTAAAAAAGTCTTTACCGCAATGATACGGAAGTCCACAAAATAATTGAATTTGAAATAAAGAAAGAAAGCTTCCTCCGAGTCTCTCTGTCTCTCTCTATCTCTGCTGGTGTGCTTCAATTATCATCAACAACATCCTCCTCCCCCACTTCTTAACTCTCAAGCGTTCTCTCTCTAATCTCTAAAATGGGTTCGAGCAGTAGTCGACTGGGCTCCCGCCCATCACGGGCCCGAGTCAATCGCACCACCAATCGTTCCGTACTCTCCTCTTTCGTCTGTGGTGGCTCTTCCTCACGTTCTACTTACGAGGTACCTTCTTCGTATTCTTCTTCATCGTCGTCCACTAAATTTGATGTCTTTAATTCAATTTTCAATACCCATTTTTGGATTTCTCATCATTTTGACCTTTTTGAATGCAAAATTCGATTTTTATTGGTTTTTTTATGATTTGGGATTTCATCATCTGGTGCAAAATATAGATACCTATATCATAATCACGAAACAAACCAGTGCAAGTTTAAAAGCCTTTTAAGCATTTTTCTTTAAAATAAGTTGTTTTGGGTTTTTATTTTCCTCAAATTCAATTTGCAATCGAAGAAAAATGATATGGGATTTGGCCTGCTGATGCAGAAGGTTAGCCCCGTGCTCGGTAATATCGTAGTTATTCTTTGACTTATCATTTACCTGTAAACGCGAATATTGTCCCCATTATCGTTGTGATGCTCTTGTTGAAAAGAAGTTGGGGATTTAGTTCATCGGGTCATTTAATTGAGGGTTCCGAGTTTAAATATGGCCTTTTCTACCTGAATCCTTAAACATTTCATGATTTAGTTAGTAGATATAAGCTATATTTCTAATTATTTTGTGGCATTAGTTTTGTACTTTGTAGTTATAGATTACTGATTTGTTTAGGTGTTTTTCCCGCAGATGGAAGATCATCCAGCTGAGTGTCTTGTGAAATATGCAGAGCAACGTAATCTGGATATTAATCAAGTTCGGAACTCCACAGAGGGAACTTCGTTGGTCTCCAGTACAGGGGCACGGTTCACCTGCCCCATTATTGAAATTGGATCATCATCTGAGAGCACTGTTGCAGCCAGTCAGAATACTTATTTTGAAGATGGTTTAAGCAGTGTTCATACAAGTAACCTGGGGAAGTGCTTGTCCAAAAGCAAAGAACTAATATCTCCTCATCAGGTAAGTGCCGATTATAGTCACGATGAATCTTGTAGGGATAATAGTACTACAGCTAGTACTTCGTTTAAAGAACAACAATCTTCAGACCCAGTCTCTGTGAATTGTTCCGCTAATATGGATGCAGTCAATGGCATTGGTAATTCAGCAGACAATAATGTATCTCAGACCTGTCCTGAGGTTATGCGACCAAGTAGTTCCTCTCCACAGGGGATTCGGAATTCCCGCTCTACTGAAGTGTCTGTTGAGAATCATGTGGCTGAAGTAATGGCTGCCCATAGTTCTAATGCTGATACGGAATCTGCTCGTGCTTCTGAAACACCATCGTCTTTTCACTCACTTGGAAATGATTCCCTTCGAGAGGCAATACCTTCTGGTTTAGGATTCCTTGTGTCCAATAGGGAACAAGGCGAGGAAGATGGAAGTATACTTCATGTTGATGTCATGAGTATTTCTTCCAACCTTTTGTCTAGAAGCAATGCTGATGCAAGTAATCGTGAGGCCAGAAGGAATGGCAGACGACTATTCTGGGATGCATTTTCAAGACGCAGTTCCAGAAGGTTTGTTGATTCTCCAACCATTCTTTTATCTACTGATGATACTGAGGATCTAGGATTTCATGACAGATGGCTACTTGGTTTGAGTGGTGATTTTTTTGATGATGGGATTGGAGCTGATTCTGGTTACCAGGGCAATAGAATTCCCAACTCAAATGAACGACGACGGCATTCTAGATCCGAGGTGATCTTTTAGACATTAAAAGTTTATTATGTGGCTTAACTTGGATATGAAATTAGGGCTTTTTGGACTCTTTGGTTCCATTCATTCGGGAGATTTTTGGCTCCTATGGGTATCAACAGTATATGCATGTTCATTTATTTGTTTACTCACATGTCGTTCATCAACGGTACTTTAATATTTCCTTCATTAAATGTTATATCCAAATGTTTTTATGGGGCAGAAGAATCTATGAATTGTAACAGCTCTTATTTTTTCTGGGTTCTCTCAATGACTTTTATTGATTTGCATCGGCATGACTCTTCTTTGTAGGTCTGGGAAAGACTTCGTGTTGGCCTTGATGACAATGGTCAGCGTAATACCTCTTGTCCTACAGGAATCCACCCTCGTGGCATGTGCTCATGTGGCTCGTTCTTGACTGAAGAGTCGAGTACTCGGGCAAGTATATCAAGAATAGTCATGCTTGCTGAAGCTCTATTTGAGGTAATGTTCTCTGTTTTAGTTTTCTTTCCTTGTCATGATTATGTCTTCTCATATTGTCCTAAAATTACTTGGGTCTTGACCTATACTAATTCAAACAGAACCATTGGTGGTTATAATGTGAGTGAGGAGGGTATTTATAAAATCCTCTAGTGGCCCCTGGAATCTTGTTTGGTAGATCAGATTTGTAAAAAGAACCATTGGTGGTTATAATGTGAGCGAGGAGGGTATTTATAAAATAATTTATTGCCTTTTGTTTTGTTCACTTTTTACCTGGGGCGGCTGTTAATTATCCCTGCATCACCTAGTTATGTAATTTTCTCCTGTTTTGGGGCTAAAACTTAGGTCTGAGTTTGGTATATTATTCATTTTGAGGCCTCTTTGATGGCTTTTAGCTGCATGCAATCATTCACTATCACTTTTTAAACATAATTTTGTTGTAATGTATGACGTGCAGGTTTTGGATGAAATTCATCGCCAACCTGTGTCACTTTCACTATCTATGGTCTCAGTCCCTGCCCCAGCATCTGTCGTTGACTCTTTTCCTCTTAAGAGTCACACAAAGGTTGACACGTTAAAGTCTGGGGATGATGTTGCACAGTAAGTTTTATTTAATTTATGCCTATTTTTCTCTTGGTTGGGGGGTTTGGTGTTGCTGAGTGTTTTCTGATTTGTGGGATTCAGTTTTTCAATGCATTTGTTGATTTCATCAACAGTGAGTATAATGCATTTGTTTGATCATGGTGAGTTAATAATTGATAGGTGTTACATATGCCTCGCTGAGTATGAGGAAGGGGACAAAATTCGAGTTCTTCCTTGCCATCATGAGTATCACATGTCATGTGTTGATAAGTGGCTCAAAGAGATACACGGGTATTGTCATTGCCCCCCACCACTTTCTAATGATTGTCCTTCATTTCCCTTGTTTCATACTGAAAGTCTTTCTGTTCTCTCCCTACTGCCTCTTTCCTCCCTCTTACAGCGTTTGTCCACTTTGCCGAGGAGATGTTCGTGAGGGCATCATCACTGACTGTTCCGTCTCTAACTCAGAGATATCTTCTGTTTGATATAAATGTACATAATGATGTAAATAGTTATGATGGTTCTTCGCTTTTACAATGACATGTTATCTGTCCTCCCACGCTAACTTGTATCTGAATTTTCCACGATCCACAATATTGTAGCATCTTTTTCTCATGATGCGGCTTTGTAGTACTTGTATAGAGATGCAGAAAATGAGATAATTGTATGAATGTGCATCTATCGAACACATCTTTGATATTTGTATCAAGGCCCTTTAGCATGCAGCAAAGAGTTAAATTAGTAGATAAAATAAAGTTGGATTGCTGATATATATCTAATTTAGAAAAAGGTAAACCCCAGGAGCAAATCAAATTCCGAACAACAGGAGGATGTTACATTCCCTAAATTTACAAGTCAAACATAGAGTTTGAATTACTTGGAGAACAGAGATCTTCTCTCAAAGTTCATACGCATTCAGCAATTTGACACCCAAAATAAAATACACCAATAAACTGATAATACCAATAAACTTAGAAAAGGGATTAAACCCAAAATATATGTCTGTCCTCATCAATAGCCATGCCCTGGGATCCAAAAGGGATTCTGGTGGTCTTGGGTAAAAGCTGGTTTAGATCTCAGCTTCCTTCCATCACTAGCAGTGTGATCATCACAGAAAGGATTGGTTTCATGGAACTTTGAAGTATGGTGTGAATGATCTCTGGGAGCAAAGAGATTCGGGTGACAATTCTCCTCGTCATCTTGGAATGTCGTCCATCGAGCTGAGTTCATGCCATGTTTCTCTCTGGCAGCATTTCTCAAGCTCTCCATCTCCCCAACATGGTCCTTGAATTCTTTTTTCACCACATCCAAAACAACATCTCCATACCGATCACACCATGACCTTAAACATCGAAAATAAAAGAGTAAATAAATAAATAAGAAGTGTAAGTGTGATGGTTTTAGCTGATTATATGCTTAAACACTGAAGGATGAAACAGCACAAAAAGAGAGAGGGTTTGCTCACTTCGGAAAGAACTTCTTCAGGTCTGCCTTGTCTACGGGAAGCTTGGTGGAAATCGCTTCAATTTGGTCATTCCTGATTATATTTGTGAAAGAAAGATTGCTTTTCAATACAATGCACATACTAAATAGTCACCACCAAATGTCAGATAATAGAAGAGGCTTACGAAAATTGAAGATTTGGATTTGAAGTGCAAAGCTCTGTCTGAATTCTTGACAGCTCCTTTTTTATCTTCTCCCCTAAAACCTTCATATTAAGAACAAATTGACCAAGTTCAGTTTCAGCTCAAGCTTCAAATATTATCCCAAAGAATCAGAAATTGAAATAACGACTTGCTACCTTATCAATGAAGAAATCAGAAGGAGAACCGTCTGAAAGCAGCTTCCTTTTTATAAGCTTAGTGTCCGGCCCTTCGCCAATGGGGCTTGAGACAAGCTTCAAGTGAACCTCACTGTCCGATCTTTCATTAAGAGGCAAAGGAGTTGTCTCATCCTCCGAGTCACTTCTCTTCCATTTCTTGAATCCATCAAAACCCCATTGCTTTTTGGCTGATTTGGAAGGTGTTTGTTCATTTTCATGACCATGATCACCACCTCCACCTCCAACACCATGTCCCTCTCTCTGCTCTCTCTGAAACAGATTCTTAAAGGGTTTCCTCCTTGTTCTATCTGAGCTGCCACTTTCTTTCACTGGTTCCTGTGGCAAGCTTTCTGGCATGAGAATCGACCTGGCCTCATTTTCCTTGTAATGATATCCTAATTCATGCTTAGAAGAGCTAGAGGAATACACTTTCGACGACTCGGGCAAATCGAATATGCTCCTTTCTTCTCTGCTTTTCCCCTGTTTGTAAGGTGATACAAAGCCCAAAACTGAAGCTGCTCCTTTAATTTGCTTCATTGCAGAGCCATGCTTCGATTTGTTCTTCGAATTCGACTTATCTTTGTCTTTGTTTAGCAAGCATTTCTCATCCTTTAAGTCAATGACAGACCACTGCTCTTGATCTGTATTCTCCTTTGGGTCCTTAGGTGGTAGCCCTGCAACAATTACATCTCTGGCCTCAATCTCAGCTCCCTGTACTGCTAATCGTTGCAACAATGGCCTCTTCGAAGAATGGTACTCATCTTCAGATATGCATTTTGCATACAAAAGTTCCTAAAGATTTAAAGCTTCATTAATTAATTATTCCCGTTTGGTTACTTAGAAAACACAATGAAAGAAAGGAAAATGAAGAAGAAAAAAAAGGGAAGATTGGTTTACCTGCAAGAATAGCAACTTATCTCTCAATATAGCTGGTTGTTCACGCTCAGTGGGAGAGGCGATTAGGGTGTCAAGCAAATGCGAGCGGAAAGCTGAGACCTCAGTCTCAGCCAAAATGCCTTCTTTATGAAGACCCATCAAATTTAACATCTGGTGGAAAGAGTCTTGCTGCCATTTGAGATTGTCTGATTGCAGCTTTGAAAGCTTGTGCTCTGCAGCCGGCAACCGCCGTTTCTTGAAGCTGAAGGGAAGAATGGTCTTGCATAAGTTGGTCACCGAGTCATGGAGAGTAGAGTAGTATGTGGGTGCGTATGAATACACCATTCTTGAATTTCTGGGATCTTGATTTGAATTGCTAAATGGGTTTAAGCGAGATCGAATGTTTCTGCAAATTGCCAGAGCTGTGATTTTGGTTTTGGCTTGTGGGTGTTGTTGTTTGTATAGTGAAACACACTGTGAAGCTGATGGTGGGTTAGAGGTCGATTTCAGATTTTGAATTTGGGGAGACGGGAAACGGTCACTAGGAACTAGCCGTTGCGGAGAGCCTAAAAAGGTAAAATCTCATGGTGGCAAAATAATGAAATATGCGGTTGATGAAACGTCGTCGGTTTTGCTACGTTTCCCTTGGCAATAAATTTTAAATTTTTATGCATCTCTTTGAACATTGTGTAAATAATAGACTGTTATCTTCCCCTACAAAAGGTGCCTTGACATTCTTAGTCTTAGCCTTTGGTAGGGGAGATAAGTGCAAACTCACCATTTTAATTCCTACAAATTTGAAAAAAGACATTTTAATTCTTAAAGTTTAGAAACTAACTTGTTTTGAATTTGACATGATCAGAATTAGATCGAAGTGTGATTTCAGATTTTGAAATTTTGTACCATCATCTCAACCTCCATATTGTCACATATCGACTCAATTTTCGATTATAGCATTATCTTGAGATAATCTAAAGTATGTTAGTTTTCTAAACTTTTTAAGCAAAACTTGTATTATATGGCTCTTTAAAAACCAGACAGGTAAACTAGGTATCCTTTTTTCGTGCTACCAAAGGCTTTGTCTGAGTCACATCACATGTGAAAACTTTCAAACGTTTTGGACTCTTGTATCACTCACACTCCACTCCAATCAAAAGAAAAAAAGAATGAACAAAATAATCAAAGCTTATCTTAAAAATCAACAAATCGTCTCTCCATTAATAATCAAGACAAAAGATTAGGATCTAATCTAATCTGTAGTGAAGTCCAGCTAGCCAGTGAAAGGAACAAAAAAAAGGAAAGGTGGGTTTGGGAAGAAAAGAAGAAAAAGTTTAGCCAAATTAGGATGGAATCCTAGTTAGCAATGCCAGGTTCTTTACTGGTATTCAATCTTGAAAATGACATTCCATCTTCAAAGTATCATATAATGTTGCAATTGTTTATAACAATCTCATCTACCACTGACTTAGCCGAACGGTCATTTTGGTTCCCGTAATTTACAGCCAAGACCAAGATATATCATTTGATTAGTACGACCACAAATAATTTCCACTAAAACAAAACCAGACAAGACAGCAAAGATTGTCCCAAAATAATGAACCTGTTCTTGGCCCACTGCCCACATGATGAGTGAGTGGTGCATCTTCTCATCTGGTATTCAATTTTAGGGTGGGGGAAAACAATGGATAGACAGTGATCTCTTGTGCAATTTGATTCATCCACTTGCTTGTTTCACAAATTGAAGTCTTTTCAAACAAAATACCTTGTCTATTTTTCATCCTTCATGGAAGATGACAAGAAGCTCTCTCCCTCCCTTTCTCATGCAAGTGGAGGAATTATATGGGCCTAACAACATGTTGCAGCTTCTAATTAACTTTTTAAGTATTTACCAGGATTGGGGAATCAAAGACTACTTGGCAACTTTTTCACTTCTACCAAAGAAAAACAAAGATACAAGCTAATTGCTCAGACCAACTCTATAACTATAACTGGAAAAGCTTTATCTAGATTACAATTTCCATTTTTACCAATAGTACAAAAGAGATTTTTACTGGGAGACAATCCCCATTCTGCAACAGGGGCAATGGGCATTGTTCTGTAACCATGGAACCATACAGCCAGAATGGAACCTGTGTGCACAGGGCAGGTGCACCAGGGTCTCACCAGGCCTGAATCTTTCCAGGCAGACAGCACACTCATCTTGGTCTGAGGCCTTCCAGCTCAACTTGGCCCAGCCGAACCTCTTTGACCCGCTCTTCTTTGTTCCAAACACTTCTTTCTGCAATTCTCCCAGAAGAACCATAGATCTTCCACCATCCACACATCTCTCTTCTTCTCTATGAACACTATGCCTGAATTCATCATACAACAAGACATGTAAAACATATAGATAAGATAATAAACAACACATGTTATGTTAGCTAGCAAGAACATATGTATTGGCAATTTGTTCTTAATTACCTTTTATTGGGTTCTGATTTTCTTTGTGTTCTGAGTCTTTCATCTAATCTCCCTTTGGCTTCTCGGGCTTCCACTCCCAGTTTCTCATCCATGTATGATTTGTTCAATATGCTTCTTTGCTTTAAAACAATCAAGAAAAGTTAAGAAATATATACAGTTGGTTTGTAACATAATTTGTTATATTGTGTGGCAGAAGGCATAAGGCAGATAATTACCAGGGAAGAGGTGGAGGTATGGTGAGTTTCATGGTTGCTAGCATACAAACAAAAAGAGGAGCGCCTGGTCCAGCCGTGTGTGCCCACTCCTGGTGACTCGCCGCTTTGATGGACTCGTCTCCTTCGAGCGCATTCCACACCAGGAAGCATCCCAGCCATTGCAGCTAGCTAGCTAGCTACCTTGGCAGCTCAAAATTAAAACAAAAGAAAGCAAGTGCTTATATTTGTCTTACAAATGATCCTGTAATATGATTTAAGGAAGAGGAGATTATAAGACAGAAGAGCAATAATACAAGCAAAAAAGCTTCAAGAAGAAGAAGAAGACAGTAGTGAATGATGAGAATAACCAGAGTGAAATGAAGATGGTGGTGGCAGACAAGACAAGAGAGGGTCCATACCATTGATGGTTGCATAAACAATCTGCATCAATCCTCTTCTGCTCTCTCTTGCTCTCTCTTCTCAATTATAAATGTGAGTTAGATCTTAAAAAAGTAAGTAAAAAGATTATGAGAAAAACAGGACCCAAAAAAAAAGGTCAGAGAGAGAGAGAGTGTGTGAGAATTGAGAAAGGGAATGGAAAGGGTGAGGAAGCTGCAGTGCAACTTCATGGCAAATCATACAAACTGTTTTTTTAATTATTGTAATTATTTTGGTCCAAAAGCATACGAAGTCTCCAAGACTCCAAGCCAAGCGGTGTCAAATGAGATTCTGCTGCTGACTCAGTGGGTGAGCCACCACGTGACCAACCAAACCAAACCACCTCTCCTCTCCTCTTCTCTCCATTAGGGGAAACACTTCCATGAAACGGAAATGACACTATTTTACATTAGGTGAGCCACGTTACATTACAAAGATTCCTGTATCATGTGAGCTACTAGGTGGGAACATCATTACCAGGATTTTAAGGATCCTACCAACTCATATTAAATTGGATTTGGACCCTTTATATGAAAGACTGTAATGAATGAGGGGTTATAACGAGGGGTCCTTACTAGGTTTCAGATCGAGCACAGAGCTATTGTTGGACTGCCAGATTGAACCCCAACACACTCCCTCAACATAGACCTATTGTGGATAGTCTTTGAGCCCACATTCTAATTTTAAGCCCATCACTCCCCAGTTATACTACAGCCCAGCCCATATCTCATGCAAATGGACTTTGAATATTTCACTAGGAGATTCCTCATCCTCTCCAAAATCTAAGGAGAACCAAAAAAGGAAAGAAAAAAAAAATTAAAGCACCTGAAAAAGCGACAACCTCTGAATATTGAATTGAATTCCGACTCTGAGGTCCAGTCGGATTAAAAGACCAAAAACCCCAAGAGCATCCCAAGAAATCCGGGGCCTCAACAAGTTGGTTCCCTCTCACGTCCCCACGATCCCCCGAAAACCCCGAAACCCCCGTGTCCTCATCCGTCATTTCAACCCCAAGAGGGTCCGCCTCCCAACCCTACACAAGATCTCTCTCCCTCCCTCTCAACAAGTTTCATGCAAAAGCAGCCTCAAACTCGAACTGGGAAAAATGATGGAGCCCCTGAACGAGCACGAGCCCTGCTCGCCATCCTCCCTCAAGCAGAAACTCCGCTCCTCCCTCTGCATCATCCCGTGCTTCCCCAAAACGACGCCGCACCACCACTCCATCACCGCCCCCACCACCCCCCACGCCCACTCCGCCAACGTCAGCCTCGTCCGCAACTCCTCCTTCTCCTCCTCCAGCAAGTCCCGCTCTAGCTATCACCACCATCACCATCACGGCCATCACAACAGCCATTACGAGTTCACGGAATTGAAGGACAAGTGCAAGAGCTTGATCGGGCGTATGGGACGGAGCCACACGGCGCGGAGGCACTCAGCCTCCGCCGACTTCAAATACGACGCCCTCAGCTACGCCCTCAATTTTGATCACGAGGAGGCGAACATCGAGGACTATCCCTTCAGGAGCTTCTCCGCCCGGTTGCCGCCCTCGCCGCCCCGAACCTCGCAGGACTCCGCCGCTTCTCCGTCTGCCTCTAAGGAAATAACTGCTTGTAGTTGATCATCATCTCTCGCGCAGGCCTGTGGTTCATTAATTCATTTAATTCATCAATTGTTTCTCAATAATTAATTAGGTTCGTTAAATGTAATTATTCATCATGTATATATATTTACATGAACAGACACAAAATTTGGTCTGTTCATCATTAAATGTAATTATTGCTACGGCTACGGTAATTTTGCATGGTTTTAGTTTTTCTTTCTGATTAAACTCAACTGTTGCATTGCATTTGCATGGCTTTACTGTAAGCCCCACCAGAGCAAGATCAGATCATCATAAATTTATTGCAAGCCCTGGGCCTTGAAATTTAATGAGCATGGCCAGAACTGGTCCAAAATGGCTGCTGCCCACATTGTAATTATTAGGATGATGGCCTGCTTGGTTGCACAAAACCAGACTCTCCCCGATGGGTATACATATCAATCATACATTAATTATTGTCTGGTCCCAACTGCAACGAGCTTTTATAATGATAGGGTTTATGTTGAGGGGTTCATATCCAATAATAACTTTGTAATTGACCGGATGAATATTAAGGACTCTCTCGCACGGGGACATTTTAGTGAGACGAAGTACCTTATAGCTAGGCCTGCGATTGGGATCATGTCATGACCTTCCTTCCCAAGTTGCTAATTAACCTAGTAAAATACAACTTACAAGTGAAACAAAAATAAGCATCGTCTTTGTTTTTAAAATGCTGAAGCCAATTGGGAATTGGCCATGTTGGCCATGTTGGAAAGAAACATCCCAGTTATTTCGCATCTCACACAACCGTGCACACACAGACGTACACAATTAGTTATTTTGACCGATGACCAGCAAGCAGACAGATGCATGTGTGTGTGTGTGTGTGTGTACACTTGATCACATCATTGCTTAATGCAGGAACCCCACCACCATACCAGCCACACACAATATTAGTTATATTCTGGTGTAGGCTTATCTACTATCTACATCCATCAATCAATGGGGATTGTCCAGTCAACCTCAATTTCCTTGTACTTTCCTTTCACTTAGACTTTCAATACCAGAAAGATATAGCGCATGATGCGGACGTACGTACTGTATTGATAATTAGTAAATTACTTTCTTCATGAAATTTAAAAAATAATTACCGACCTTAATTAGTTTGACTAGATGATTCTTTCAGTGTGAATATTTATATTTAATCATGCTTTAAGTTTGTTTAAGAAAACAATAAAAGAGAGTCATGAATGAGATGGTGTTTGTATCACCTTTCTTCACTTTGAGTCAATCAATCAAACACCCTTTCTTCCAAAAGAAAAAGGAAACCGCGTACGTATTGACGTTTTGGTTTACCTTTTTATGCTTTGTTTTCTTTTCAAACGTACAAACAAAAAAATCAAGCAAAGTATATATAATTGGACCGACCTCACCCAAGTAAGTAAAAAGAGCAGCTCATGGTATAACTTTATCAAACTTTTGCCTCATTCTCCCCCGCCATGAACTGTGGGGCCAGTAAGAACACGTCACAATTGAAGAAATAATCGAATTATCCTCTTGGGATTTAGAACAAAAGATGAAGCCAAAACGATAACGGATATAATAATCCAAGAAAGAAATTAGAGAAGTGTCGGCTCATTATACTTCATGGCGAAGTTTCCGTATTCCAACTAGAACCAAGTTATGTCATACAACAAGTTACTCCAAGAATATGGGGAGGGTAGGTTCCCTTCCTCTAAGGATTCATGGCAACAACTATTTACAACTACCCGTCGGAAAGAATTCTCTACGAAGAAAATAAAAAGGTATACCTCTATTTTTCAGCTTCGTTCATCTTTCGGGTAACAATGGAAATTTGGCAGAGTTGGAGATGTTATGCTTCAACATAGACTCGTAAGCAATTGTATTTTACCTTTTCCAATTTCTAACGGTACTCCTCCCTTGTTTACTATTTATATTATTATTATTATTATTATTATTATTATTATTTCATACAAAGTAATACAAAAAATGGAAAATCGAACCTATAACCTCAAGGGAATAGGTAAAGGTACATATATATATATATGCATAAGATTACTATAATTTCTTATTAACAAAAGTAAAAACGATGGACATATTAATAAGATAATAATGTCATACATATAATTAACTCTTCATTTCAAATTGATGACGACCGTGTCATCGAAAATAAAGATTAACCATCTGTAAAAAGAAAAAGAAAAAATGAAACAAAGATCGAACATGATCATCATAATCATGGTTGGGAGATTTTAAGGCTAAAGTTATGATCTGATATCATGCCATAATTGCAGTAAAAGAAAATTAAACCACAATTGAATTTCGGTTTATAAATAATTTGATTGTAAAAAATGGCATTAAATAATTGGTGTAGCGTGGAGTTTAATTTAATGTGGATTTGAAGAAAGTTTCTACTTTTGTTTTTGTCTTCTCTCACTTGCCCTTTAACTGGATATTGATATGATCCTCTCCTTTAGGAAATATATATCGCCAACAACACTACCTTTGAAAAGTCCCATTCTCTGCAACCTTGTCACCATCTCACAGAATCAAATCCTCCCAAGTTTCCAACAGACACATAATGATGTACTTTTGTTGACTCATGATATTGCATGAAGTCATCCACGTGCCTCCTTCCCCCCACATCACCTCCTCTCTTCTCCAAGACTCCAACCCAAAACAATAAACTTTTCTTAAGCCCACTGCCATTCTCTACACAAAACACACTTTCTGTTTCATTCATTTTTCCCGAGAAAAATAATATTCATCCGGAAAATATTCGAAGATGAACAAAAACAATAAAAGACCAGATTTTTAGAGAAAGAAAGTGACGAGGAAGAAGATTCAACAAAACCACCCTGAATCGAGGTGCTGTTTGAGACGTTTGTCGCTGAGCTTTGATTTCCTTGGAGTTTGGAACTGCACTCCACCGACTCAGGCTTTCTCTGTCTCTTTCCTCTTCTGCATCTTATCTCTCCTTGGAGTTTGGAAACGCCGTTCCAATCTGGTACTCATCTCTCTGTCTCTGTCTCTGTCTTTTCTCAATTGTTTTGCCCTGCTTTCCTTAGAAAGCTGTGAAATGTTATTTTAGTTTGGTGCAATCTGGCTGGGGTTTATACCAGATTATTAAAGAAATTCAATACTTGAATTAGAAAATCTTGGGGAAAAGACCGTAGCTTTATTGTTATCCAGAAGAAAAGGCCTTAGCTTTATCGTATTTGATTCTACGTTCTCTTATTTACGATTGATTTGCAGACCCTTAATTGAAATCTTTATTGTTGTAGATATGGCGTTTGATCAAAATTCGTTTCCCAAAGAGTTAAGACCGTTAAACGTAGCTCGAACTGTGGCTGATGAGCCCCGCATTGCGCTCGCTACTACAACTGGACGAAACCCAGATGGACTTTTCCCCAACCTGGCTCTTGAAGTTAATAGCCCTAATTCGATACCTGTCTTTTACCCATCAACGGTCGCAGAGGCTGGGCTTGTTGGCGTAGGGTATGGAAATGCCATGTCTGGGGTGCCCACATGGCGCCCTCGCGTACCTGTGCCGGTGGGGTATCCAGGGATGAACACTGCCGTTGCTGTTGGAATTGGTTACAGTCCTAATTTGGGCGGTCGGCTTGGCGGCAATGCTGTTGATCTTGTAAGCTCTTCTACTACAACAACTGCTTCTGGGCCTTCTGTCTGTAATTTTAATATGTCTAATAGGGTTGTGGGCAATGGTTTGGATCATGGTGTTAATGATATGGCAGTTAGATTTGGTTATAATCCCAATTTGGGAAATAAGGTCAGTGGTAATGTTGCTAATCAAACTGGGAATGATTTGACATCTGCGTATGGTAATAATGCCAATTTTGGCAATCGGGTTGGTGGCAATGGAACTGATCAAGCAAGCGACGATGGTGGAGATGATTCTGTGTCAGGGAAGAAAGTCAAGCTTCTGTGCAGCTTTGGGGGAAAGATTTTGCCCAGACCAAGTGATGGAATGTTGAGATACGTTGGAGGGCAGACAAGGATTATTAGTGTTCGGAGAGATGTGAGCTTCAGTGAGCTAGTGCAGAAGATGTTGGATACATATGGGCAACCTGTGGTTATTAAATATCAGCTCCCTGATGAGGATCTCGATGCACTGGTGTCAGTTTCATGTGCTGATGATCTTGACAATATGAAGGATGAGTATGGGAAGTTGGTTGAGCGATCTCCAGATGGGTCAGCAAAACTGAGGGTGTTTTTGTTTTCTGCTTCAGAAGTTGATCCATCTAGTGTTGTACAATTCGGGGATTTACATAATAGTGAGCAAAGATATGTTGATGCTGTCAATGGGATTATGGATGGGGTTGGTGGTGGTATCTTGAGGAAGGAGAGTATGACAAGTGCCACTTCAACACAGAATTCTGATTTTAGTGGAACTGATATTGTTGATAGCTCAATTCCTGGTCAGGGTGACACTACTGGACCTCCATCAGCAGGCAAATTATCGCCTAAAGGGGATTCAGCTACTTCTCATGATACTAGTACAAGATTGGTAATTGTGGATCCTAAAAACATCACCTTCTCAGCCTGAGTGTGAGTTAGAAAGGTCTGTTCCTGTTACAGTATCGCAGCAGCAAGTGGGGTTGCAGCAACCTGGAATTGGCATTCCATCCACTGCTCCTTATCTGCAAACTTATGTTGGTCCTCGCCAAGAAGTTATGAACCGAGCAGATCATCTCCAGCTTCCTCCTCAGATGGGTTTCCCAAATGCTCAGCTATTGGGGACTGCTAGTCCTGTATATACCCAACAGCAATTCTGTGATAGTGTTGCTGGCATCACCCAACATCACTTCATTCCTGCAGTGCACATGACAATGACTCCCTCATCTTCTCATGTTAATATAAGACCAAATGTGCTTCAGCCATTGATGCAACCCCAGCAGACTCGGTTAGATCATTATGTAGATGAGAGCACCTTTGTTCCCAGGGTAGTCCAGTTTCCTACTGAGCAAGGCTATAATTCTTATCAGGTTCAGGTCCCATCACCAGTGGTAGGAGGTGCTTATGGCTGGCATCAGGTTCCACCACCAGAGCATGTGATTTTTCATGACGGTTTGGTATCCCACCAACAGGTAATGTATCCTGAGAAATCCCAAAGGTTGGAGGACTGTTATATGTGTCAGAGAGCATTGCCTCATGCACATTCTGATACTTTGGTACAGGTTCATAGAGACAGTGGTGGAAGCCCAGTATCTGATTCAAATTCAACTTATCATAGTCCCTGCCTGGAGGACAATTTGCGAGCTCAACCAATGAACATGGTTATGGTAAGTGGAGCATTAGCAGAAGGTAATTTTGGGCAAGGAGTTGAGGCTCAACTCAGGGTCCAAGGTCAAGTAGATCCTCTTGTTGGAACATCTCATTCAGAGGTGACTGGGATCTCGCAGATTTCTGAGGGAACTCGTGAAAATGAGAGAATGAATCTTCAACAAGTTGATCTTCCAATGATTACAGCTCCCCATGGTGTTATCAGGAGAGGAGGTGACATACAGTCACCAAATAGTGCATTCATGGTCACTATTCCTCAGCGTTGTCAAGATGATGCTGTTCAACAACATTCTGCGCCATTCCAGTACCAGGTTAAACAGGAAAATTTAGTTAGTGATCTTTTTAATCAAGATGTACCTCTTGTTGGAGGCACACCTGTTCAAACTTCAGAATTCCTGGTTCATGAATCTCCAACTGCATACCCCAACAAATTTCCTGGAGTTATTCCAAAAGAAGACAATGTAGACACTTGCATTGCATATGATCATCTGAGACAAATCGATGGGAGAATGGAGACCCTCAGGATAAGCCCCACTGAGGTTTATGTTAATAATGAGCATGGGAAGTCACCCATTGATACGCCTAGAGTGGAAGACAGCTTTGACCATAAAGCACCACAAGTTGGGGGTAGGGAGGTGACTCTAGATAACACTGTTGGCAGGAGTCACTTTAAACCAACCGAAGTAGAGGCTTCTTCCCCTGCCGAAGTCTCACATGGGTATAATTCGCAGCCTGTAGAATTCTTTGAGGCGGCACAGCCATCTATGTGGGGAAATCCTGAATCTTACCCACAATCAAGAGTTGGATTCCATCCTCAGGATGCTTATGAATTGAACTATGGCAACCCTGTTGTTTCTACCCTTATAACTAATGGAATTCAACCTCCTG